GAGCTAGTTCTCCATAGAAGAGCTTAAGCTGTTGGGTTCAACCAGTAAGATGAGAAAGAAGCTGAGGCCCCTTTTCTAAATAAACTCGTAGTTCACAGGGGAAACACAGCACTGTTAAAAATCATTAAGTACCGGAAGTGTCCTGTTAGCTTTTCAGGGTTAGTTAACTAAATTGTCAGAGGCAATAGCTCCTTTTGCTCTACAGAATGGGTGCGTTAATAAGTGCCTGATAACCAAGAACATTATGTTGAGTCTCAAAATCTCTTGAAGAATGAGTACAACCTTGTCATGAAGAAAGAATGGAAAGGATTGGTTAGTGGAAACAGGAGAGAATGCTACTGAATGCATTCTGGTATGAGCAAGCAGAGAGGAATTCTGCAAACGTGTCCTCAAGACCCATTGGGACAGGGACAAAGGGTGTGATGGAGGGTGGCAGAAACATCTGGAGGTAGAACTAAAGAAAGGAAAATCCACACTGACTGACTTGGCCATTTGTCACCGGATGAAAGCACACTATCCAAAGTTTATAAGCAAGAGGGACAAATGCAATGCAGATTTGAGCCCCAGGAGGATAAACATGGCAAGCAAATGGGATTATATATCTGAGAACCACTTAGAAGGAATTTTATGAGGGGCATAACTTAACGTCTGTTATTGCCTTGGCACTAGGACTTGTAACAGTCTCCCTTCCCACTGCTGACATGCCTAAAGGTGCTTTGGACATGCCCCAAAGAGTTGTCGACAGTGACAAAGCGTTCATGAGAACAGCTCTTGCTGGGGGTTGACCGGCATCTGAAATCCTAGCGTCCAGGATACCGCAGCAGGGGCCTGCTCAGGAGTCTGAGTTTGTCCAGGGCTTTGTGGTGAGATCTTATCTCAAAACAGTTTTCTTAAGCCTGGGCACAGGCTGTGACCATCAAGGGCACTTTGAGGAAGGCTGCGGGCTGATCTTCAGCCCCTGAGATTGGCCAGGGATCCCATGTCAGCCTATCTCAAAGCTTGTCACGGGACTCGAGTACTGAGAAGTTTGAGGGTTGCAGCATTGAAACAGGACCCACGGTCACTGCAGGTCTGGGCATCACTTTGCTTATGCCGTAACAATCTGAAGTGTGGCTGTTCGTTATAACCTTGACGTGTGTTTAATACAAGGATCCTTTGCTTCATTTCAAATGTTCTTACTAAATTTTTGATACATGCTATAACCTATGCTGCCCTAGAGAATGGCACGTGCTCTGTGAAGTGGATGATAGACTGTGTCGTGAGAAGAGGAAAAACGGCTGAGAACCCAGCCGTAGCCTATAGCAGTGTGTCTGGTCAGCTACGGTCTCACCTGCCTCCTTGCGTCATCCTGAACCAACCCATGCTGTTTGCCTTGAATGTCTGTCTGCTTCGTGATTTCGCCTACACACCCCTACGTTTGTGGAGTTTGCACCATCTAACCTTTGAGCCCTGATGCTATTTCTATATATCCTGTCTTCCGTTGCGAAACAGCGATCATCCAAAACTTCAGCTTTTATCTTGACATAGTAGTTTTCCCATTCCAGTCCCTCTGGTTCTAATGCTGTGTGTGGCAAACAGGTTTATAACCATTTTCCAAAAGGCATAGTTCACAACTACCAGCCAATGCCGAAACAGGACTACTTACCCATCTTCTAATGTATTCTCTCCCTCCCTCTCCCTCCCTCTCCCTCCCTCTCCTTCCCTCTCCCCCTCTCTCCCTTCCTCCCTCCTACCATGACCCCCTCCCCAGTATGAAGCAAACAAAATCTTGTAAGTAGCCCACTTGAAACAAAGGTGAAACCAAAGATGAGCTTTTATTAAATTTATTTTATGGTTGAGGCTATAATTGTAGCATTTCCTTGTTTCAAAATTAGGCCCTTTTTTCACTAATTGCTACATGTGTGTGTACGTGCATATACACATATATTCATAAACCTACTCAGTGTCTATACTGTTTCTTGCATGGGTGTTTTCAGGGCTGACTGAGTAGTATTGGATACCAGTCGGTTGGTGTGCTCTTCCTCGGAGAGGACTGTTTCTCCCACTTTTCTGCATCCCTTTGTTGCCCTTTAATTAATTCCTTGTGAATTTTATCACATTTATTGTGATTATAGTCACCCCTCCTCCTAACCTCTGTGAAAACTACTCCCCTTCTCTACACAAACCCCAACATTGTATTTTCTTCCTTTTCCAAATGACTATTTAGGTTCAATTTGTGCTGCCGTATAACTCATAAATATGGGGTCATGCCCAGTCTTAATACATGGGAGGTGCTTAGTCTTACTGTAACCTGATATGCCATGCTTTGGTGATCTCCTTGGGAGGCCTGCCCTTTCCTAAACAGAAATGGAGAAGTGGATTGGAGATGGGGACATAGGGGGAGTTGGGGTAAGGGACTGGGAGAATAGGAGGGAGAAGACACTTTGGCCCTGATATAAAATAAATAAATAAAGTTAAAAGAAAAGAAAGATCACAAGAGGCAGGAGACAGGGAGGAAAGGAATACGGAGTCTCCTAGACACAACAGGACCCTCACTCTTTTGAACTCACAGAAGCAGAATTTCTGAGCATGAGACCTGAACAAGATGATGCCAGTTGGCATTAGAGCATAGAGAGTCAGGCAACTAAAAGACACCACAGCATACTTAGGAGCTTCTGGCAGTTCATGGCTTCAGAGGGGGGAAGAGTTGGTTTCCTTTAAGAGTATGGCCAAAGGCAAACTTTGAAAGCAAGAAATGACGAGAAACTTAAGATTCCAGAGCATGGAGAAGAGCAGTGAGAAACCACTGAGACCCACAGCAGAGGTCCTGGGATCTTGGTTTTCTTGATGGTCATAATCCCAACTGCCAAGCTCGATTTCATGCAAATAGTCGGTAGTTATTAAATATTTCCCAAGAAGCTGAATTGCTTGCAGTTTGGAAGAACTCATGAAGAACACAGGGTCACCTTTGTGACTTTCAACGTGATCCTAAATCAGCAACCATATGTCCAGTGACAAACAACTGACCAACAGTTCCATTCACCTGCAAGACCTTGCCTAAACATTTATTTGAAAAAAAAAAGCTAGATAATTTAGTTAGTAACTTCATATTAGACATTAGATAATTAGACAAGCTTCAGTTAGACACAGTGGTAGATGGGGTTATACTGGACTATTTTTCAAAGAGTCTTAATTTAGTAGTTGTGTGTGCACACCTGCCTGCCTCTGCCTCCCTAGCATATGCTGCCCCAAGAACCTGCTGTCTGTTTTTCCATGGAATCCAAGATCAAACTCAAGCCCTCCTTCTAGTGAGCTAAGCACTGCACTTGGGAGCCATCGCCTCCCCTGGCGATTTTATTTGTAGGGACTCCAGCAACCCAGACAGAGTCCATTTGAGAGGTGACCAAAAGCGAAGGCGGTCTAGTTCAAGGCGGGCTGTGACTGATTGGTATCAGAAGGATCTGTACGTCCCAGTGGGACTGGATTCTAGACCCAGTCCGCACAAGTTCTGCGGCCACACGAGAAGCTCAGTGTCCTTTGGTGGCAGTTGTCTCTAAAGAAAAGGCAAACGGGCAGGTTTTCTCCTGTGGTTTCCTCGAGGCTCTTCACAAGCTGTAAAATCTCAGTATTATTTGTGAGCATAAGAAATTATCTGCAAGCCGGGCGGTGGTGGTGCACGCCTTTAATTCCAGCACTGGGGAGGCAGAGGCAGAGGCAGGCAGATCTCTGTGAGTTGGAGGCCGGGCTGGACTGACAGCCTCCAAAACAATACAGAGAAACCCTGTCTTGTAAAACCAAAAAAAAAAAAAAAAAAAAAAAAAAAAAAAAAAAGAAATTATCTGCAAGTAATGGTGATTCATAGTTAAGGTGTGCACGTGGCTTTAGACATATGAGGTAGAATTAGGGCTGGGGAGGTTGCTCAGTCGGCAGCAGTGCGAAAGGGACATGCGTGAGGACTAGAGTTGGTGTGCGTGTACACACGGGTCCAGAGCCCACAGATGAGAGGAAGCGTTCAGTGACTGTCTTCCTGAGTATGTAAGTTGGTGTGCATGTACACATGGATCCAGAGCCCACAGATGAGAGGAAACATTCAGTGACTGTCTTCCTGAGGATGGCTTTCTCTCTTCACTCACCGGGATAAGGTTCAGTTTGCCTTCCTTTTCCAAAACACACCAATATCTGTAGACGTTAAGTGTCTGTCCTGCCCAGTCCCGCAGCTGCTTAGTCCCAACTAAGCACACAGAGGCTCGTATTAACTATAAAAACTTTTTGGCCTATTACTCAGGCTTCTTTCTGGCTAGCTCTCTCTCAATTATTAACCCATTTCTGCTGAGCTACACGGTCTTGGCTTACCAGTGATGCCCAGACCTCTTGCTTCCTTGGCCATTATATGGATTCTTGCTGGTGACTCACTCTCTGTGTTCCTCTTTCCAGCTTTTTTCCAGTCTGGTAGCCCTGCCTATCCTTCTTGCCTGGCTACAGCCTGCCTGTCCAGTGTCCAAAACAGCTCCATTCACCAACCAATAAGAGAAACATATATCCACAGCACACAGAAGGACCTCCCCCCATAAAACACCTACTTTGTGATGAATAAGACTCCACTATGTGTAGGTCATGCTCTTTTTGATCCCCTCACCTGTGTCTAGGGTGATCCCGAGTCTTGGTTACTGTGACTCGTGCAGCCATAAGCGTGGGTGGCAAGTGTCCACATGGCAGGTCTCCTGGGCACTTTTCAAGTTCCCATGCAAGAGAAGGATGCCTGGGTCACATGGACGTCCTGTTTTTAGCATTTTGAGGCATTCCCCCCCCCATACTGACTGAATGGACCAGTTTTCCCCTTCAATCTCACCAACGTTTGTTGTCTGTTTCCTCCGCACTGCTTTCTTTCTTAGTGACAGCCCTTCTGACGAGAGTGGGGTGCAGTCTGGATGTCTGGGTTTTCCTCTCGTCAAGGGAGGGGGCTGGGGGCAGATTGCGGGGCGCCATGGCTGCTTTTCTTTGATTCACTCTCTCACGTTCAGCAGGTCCAAGGTCAGCTGCCGCCATTGATGATCCCCGTGTTCCCTCCTGACCAGCGGACCCTCGCTGCAGCTGCCCAACAAGGATTCCTCCTTCCTCCCGGTTTCAGCTACAAGGCTGGGTGCAGTAAGTACCACCGAGCTATTCATTCCCGAGTGGGTGGAGGATGTGGCTCCCAGCTGGACCATTGAGTGTAGCCACCACACCAACCTCAGGAAACGTGTCCCTTCACTCAGCGCATTTATTTTAGAGATAAAATGCAACCGCCGGGTGGGAAGGGGTTTTGTTGGTGTCCGTGAGTGCGTACCTCATTCCTGTGCTTCGAAGGCCAGCATTCTTCCTCTACACCTGGCTTTTGTGCCTTCTGTTTCCATTGTATGCTAAAATATGAACATAACTTGGGTTTTAATTTTTCCCCATAGATACTATCCTATAGTTTTTTCATTGTACAGTAGTAGGCTAACTGAATTCTGTATATTAAAAAAATTGGGACCTTGGAGTCCTTTGCGTAGTAGTAACGGCCGGTAATGGATGGACTGTGAGACAGTTGTCATAGGCTTGCGTGTCTGTACAGTGTCTGCTCCCACACTGGTCGTGGTGTTTGAGAAAGTTACAGGATCTTTAAGGTGGAGAGAGACGCTGAGTCACCCTGTGAATAACGTGACTCGCTGGGGTTGGACCGTGAGGGGGCTACAGCCCAACCTCACTTCCCATTTTCTCCTTGATGGCTGACTGTGGACTTCTGGCCTCACACTCCCGCCTCCGTGGAAGGCAGCCCGTCAGGTATCTCGCGGAGACCCTCCCTTCCTTGCCTCTTGTGTATACTTTGTATGGCAGCAGGGACATAACCAGCACTCAACAATTCCTCTGAACTTCTTAGTTCTTAGACCAGTGCATACTCTTTCTGGATGCTGGCCTCTCACCAGAATGGGTCACTCTCCCTGGTGTGATGACCCTCCTCCAACTCACGTCAGGGGTGATTTCCTGGGCCTGTGCATGGTCCCCTTTCCCCTGGCCCTTCTGTGATTTCCCGACTGTTCCATGTAATATAAAGATTTAAAGACTAGAACTAAGCGTTAAAATCACAGATGAGAAAAATGCAAAGCATCGTCTAGCAGGAAAATTAGAATGAATTTCTAGTCAAGTTGTGTAGAGATTCTTAAACTAAATGTCACAGCTCAAGTCTAGACTGGAAAAGTCCCTACTCCAGGCACCTCCCTAGGTAGCTGTTTACTCCTTTGGCAGCTATTCCTCTTGACTTTGTTTTCCGATGTTTTCAAATGAGGCAGCACATTTTATTTCCATCCAGGACCCTTGATTTATCAATTTCACAATACAAACGCACAGTCCTAATTTTTATAGATCATCATTTAATCCAGACACAGAATAACTCCTTTGAATAAGAACAACTAAGGGCTATATTCTAAGGATTTAAACTTCTCAGAACAATTTGCTTTCTCAGGATGGAATTTTGTATTCGATTGTTACCTTAAAGCTGTGCCTTTTTAAGTATAAAGGATCTTTGGTTTTCTGTTTGCCTGAAGAATTGCTCCTCGCTTGAAATAAATGTGGCAAATGTGGTTTTGTTTTTTGTTTGTTTATGTTTTTATAATCCAGCTTACTAAAACAACACAAATTCACTGCATATTTTGCAGAAGAGAAAAACATTCTGACAGTGAACAGTAGAATGACTATAGACCCAGGCAAGGGCAGGAACCACCCCCGCCCCCCTTTACAACCAGCGAGTTGAGTTTGTCGGGCCACAATGTGTCATGGATCAAACCAAGTTTTCCTTTGTGAAAATGGTTGGTATTTTAACTGTTGGCTAGTCATGCCTTCAGTGCTTAAGTTATAAGCGATTCCACTTTTTCAGTTACCTTGGAAATAAAATAGAACAAAGCTTTGACTGCTGCTGGCCAACTTCAGCTTGGCACCTTGCCAGACTCTGGAACTTAGCAGAAGTGGGTTGTGAAAGAAAGTGGCCTACCCTTGTTGACACCCAGGTTCTTGGGGCAAGCCTCAAGGAGGAGCTGGGCGGGTGTGATAAACAGTCTACAATGTCACTCCACCTCTCCACCAATCACATAGCAAGAAAGGAAATGGGGGGGGGGGGGCACAAAATGAAGCCGGCTCCCCCATCCTCAGCCCGCTTCTTTGTGGCTGTCAGCCTGATGCCTGTGTACAGCAGTAGCTTTGAGTGGTATGATGAGGTTCTCGGTGACAGTCACTGGTCCACCCACAAACCCTGTGGCTCCAAAGCTGCGTGGGGAACCTGGGGCTGGGATTGGTTCAGGTGCTGAAATGTGGAACTCAGAAGAGTTTGCAGTAGGCACATGCCGAGGAACCTGGCCAGTGCAGCCGGAGTCAGCACACCCTTATTTGGAGGAAAAGAGGCTTCTGGTTGGAGCACAGAGGCATTGTTCCCGTTTCGAAAATAACGATAAAAGTGTGGCTGCCACGGAGTAGACAAACACAGTGTCACACAGCTCTGTCTGCAAGGGTGCACAGCGCAGACCGATGGCAGCATAGCTAAGTAGCCAGGGACCTCTGAGCATGCACGGGAACATCAAAGGGTATTCCCCTGCATGCTCACCCGCGAGTCTGTGTCAGTTCGCAGCCATGCAAGTGCTGATAACACTCTCCAACAGTCTGCTTGGGCACAAAAAATACACGTCTTCACGAATCCATGCCTAGTTACTCATTTTCCTGCTTATTTCTTGAGACCTAAAAGAAAATACTTATAAACGTCTGTGGAGGTAGAAATAACGGCATTTTGTTGATTATTGTTTTGGATGACTGTAGACAGAGCCTCACCCCTGTAGCCCAAGCTCTCCTGCCTCAACCTATGGCACCTCAGGATTAGAGGTGTGAATCTCCATACTCAGCTACAAATAATGATGGATTAGTAAATTAAATGCTGTCTTACAAGAGAGAGGAGACCTGGGTTTGAAAGAGGCAGATAAAAACACTGTTTTGGTAGCTCAACTCAGTCTTACCCAATACACTTAAGGGAATAAAACTAAGTCAAATAACAGTTATTTTTTTAAAACTTGTTAGTACTGTCTCAATGCTTAAGCAGGCTGCAATGTGAAAAATAAATTTATAAGATGTAACTTAAAATTTCAAGCCTAATTTATTTCTGGCAGCACTAGCTCATTGGAAACAGAAAATAATCATGACGACCCATTAAATAAGTTTGGAATGCAAGGTACCCAAGATGTTGGTTCTGAAATATAAGTCAAGTGGGCACACAGACAATTTAGTTCAATCACTCCAAGTGGCTCAGAAGTGTAAGGACACTGCCTTCTGAGTAGAGCCCTAACTTGTTAAGTAAAAAACAAAAAATTCAGCCCACGAACTGGGAAGCTTCTGCCGAGCTCCTATTTTCAAATAAAAGTTTAAGTACCTTTGGCACCTGAAGAAATACTTTATGTTGGGAGGAAGACAATCCCCCCCCATAGTTGTTTGCCTTAGAAAACCAATCCTACCCTAAAGGGAGGATGTAAACGTGGAGTGTGTGTGTGTGTGTGTGTGTGTGTGTGTGTGTGTGTGTGCGGGCGCGCGCGTGTGCATGCGTGTGCGTGTGTTGGTGTGTCCCAACACTCTCCGCTGGGGGGGTGTGTTTGAGACGGACTGCTGAAGGCTTGAGGTTTGCTGTGCTGCTGTCTCTGTCTCTGGGCCCTTCCCTCTGTGCCAGGCTTCTAGCTGTTGATGTTCAGGAGACCCCCGGTCTCTGCAGCAAGTGGCTTAGACACAGAATTGGGAGAAACAGATGACTCACTCACTGGCAGCTTTAACCCTCTGCCCCTTCTCTCTGTTTGTGCCCAGCATTTCCAACCCTACAACTCTAACAGTCACAAGCATTGGAAATTTTGACAGAGAGGCGTTTTACAGGGAAATAATAAAATCTTGAGAAACGTCAGAATTCCATAAAAGAACATTTTTTTATGCATCGTATAAAAATAACTTGGAAAAGAGCTGGCTTGATCGGTTAGCGCAAGGTGTGAATTGAGTGTGTCATATGACAATTGACATAGAGTCTCCCTGATAGATGGACAAGAACCCAACTTCCCAAGCCAAGGACCTCAGGGTGGTCCTGGTTAACTCCCAGGGGCCATGCTGGGTATTTTAACAATTCATAGAAAATATAGAGGCATCTCTCTGGTACTTTGCAAACTTTCATGTTTACGTTGTGTGAACTTTTCTACTTAATAAGGGTGAGTGGTTGTATATTTTTCTTTTCTCGTGAGGGTGACATTAAAATGATTATGTCACTGGAAGTGCCTTAACTTGGGAAGGTTCCAGAACTTTCCACCCAGTGTGGTGTGTACATTGTGGCTTTTGTTGTTTTAATTCTGTTGTCCCCTCTCATTTTTTTTAACCAGGAAGCTTTCATGAACACAAAGTGGCAAAACTTACTCCAACAAAACTTAGAGAACCATGTACACTGTTGTGAGGTTAATCGATTCATAGATCTATACCAGTTGATTCTTCCCTGCGGGTTTTCTCTTGTGTTTGTTTTGTCAAAATCGGCCCAGTCCCAGATAGGCAACAGCAAAGTATAAGCACTTGGAGTGGCAGAGCTTGGAAGTGGAATGAGGTTCCAATTCTGCTGGTCTGTTTCCCCTCCAGCAAGTGTGGTGGTTTGGAGAGGAAGTGTCCCCCATAGGCACGCACGTGGGTGGAGCTGTTTAAGACAGTTATGGAAACTTTCGGAGGCGGAACCTTGATTGAAGGAATACATCACCACGGGTGGGCTTTGAGAATCCACAGCTTCCCCCCACTTCCTCTTCTTTCTGTGTGTGTTTCCTGTGTGTGAATAAGTGTGATGTCTCCCTCCCTCTGATTTTGCTCCTATCTGCAGGACAAGCTTCCCCTGTTATAGACACATGCTGCCCTGGCTGGCTCAAAATGACTCTTTACAGGAATAAACACTTTCAAACTCAGCAATTAAACCAGACTCCCCCGAAGGCTTTAACTTATAAAATTTAGGGAAGGCAGAGAATTAGGGGGTCCAGGGAGAAAAATTAATCACAATCATTTTAACACAATAGAGAAGCTTTAAGATGCGATTTGCTCTCCCTTCCTCTGCTGATAGACATGGGGCCTGCAATTTTGATCATTCT